TTTTTTTTGACGTTTTGTCGTGTAAGGTGTCCATCAACCATTTACATATACAAAAAAAAGTAACACCAGTTTATAGTGAGTGACATGGGCGAGAAATTAGAATTTGATCCTAAATAGAACTTGATGAGCATTAACTTGATAAGACTTCTTAGGTTATTTCCTTGGCCTGTTAAGAGGAAATATCCCTAACACTTTCCTATTATCACACATCCATTACTTGGTTAAAAATATTTGCCTCAAAATACCCTTGCAGACTTTGGCTAGAATGAGGACTCTGCGCATACTTATAAAATCGGGACTGGCCTGAGTCCGCGTTCTTGGTGCGTTCTTGGGCTTTGGGGACGAAAGCATTGCAACAACGGGAGGAAAAGTCCTTAAAACCTGTCTTTCGGTATTTTCTCGAAAGAGCTCGCACTAGATACTGCAGCGCAGCACAGCACAGCGCAGCAAAGTGCAAGCACAGCGTAGCGCAGCACAGCAAAGCGTAGCACAACATAGCGCAGCACAGCATAGCGCAGCACAATGCAAGTACAGCATAGCGCAGCACAGTGCAAGCATAGCATAGCGCAGCACAGCATAGCGCAGCACAGCATAGCGCAGCACAGCAAAACGCAGCACAGCATAGTGGAGCACAGCATAGCGCAACACAGCCTAGCGCTGCGCAGCATAGCGCAGCACAGCTTAGCGGAACACAACATTACACAGCACAACATAGCTCAGCACAGCATAGCGCAACACAGCATAGCGGAGCGCAACAGAGCGCAGCGCAGCACAGCATTTCGCGCAGCGCAACACAGCGCAGCGCAACACAGCGCAACGCAACACAGCGCAGCGCAACACAGTGCAGAATAGCATAGAGCGGCACTGCATAGCATAGCACAGCATAGCGCAGCACAGCATGGCGCAGCACAGTGCAAGCACAGCATAGCGTATCGTATAGCGTATCGTAGCATAGCGTGTCGCAGTGAAGTACAGAACAGAACAAAAAAGACGATGAACTATACTTGAATCACTTGTCTTCCTTCTCCTGTATGTTCTTAGAAGTACTTTTCCTCCCCCCCTCTCTCTAATGGACCCACGTCTTGCGTTACCCTGACAATACGCCGATTTTGCGGTGAGAAATGTGCTGCTATGCTGAACTGTTCACAGCGTTTCTTATTTTTTGACGAAAGTACTCTACAAATTCCGAGTGAAGAGAGCTCGGAGAGGGAAGGGGCGAGGGAGCGGGTCTTGGGAGAAAGAAAAAACATCTTGTGATTCTTTTTGCGCATTCAGCGATCGAAGGAAATCATAGCAATCGAAAAAGAACGCTTCGAATGCTCTAGTGAGATACAAATGATCACGGGCAACGCAGTTCAAAAATACAAACAAGGAGGCATTTTGAACTCGGCCAGCGTAACTGAATTGTACGGTCGACTTGACATCGGAACTAATGCGTTGCTTGTTAACAGGACTCCACATTACATTATTAAAGGTACATCATCACATTATTTTAGGTAAGTTGTTGCTGAATTCTTGCATTTCAATGCTACCAATGCCCTGAACGTTTCGAAAAATTGTCGATAAATCACTTGACATTCTAGCGACATAAACAGCTTCAAATTTTAGCAAATCTTTTAGCAGAATACGGTCAGCTAAATTGACCAATCACAACGCGTATAGTAACTAAATTAGTCTGATTATTTACGTGTTAATTTTTTGTGCACGAGACCTTGCAATGTTCAATGTGAGAAGTAATTAGTTTGTTAGTTGAATTGAAACCATAAAAGTGTATCCTTACAACTTTCAAGCTTCTTTAATGTTTGAACAAGGAAGAAATTTCACAAACCACTGAACCCAAGTTAAGAACAACATTAATGAAAGTCTTGGGTGGACACAGCGACAGTTTTGAGCTTCCGATATACTTCTTGCCCACATACAAAACTAACAAAAGCTATTTGTTCAATGACGTTGATACATTCTGCTTTTGAAAAGGGTACTCCCATATTATTTAGGAACAAAACCAGAAACACTTCTATTGTATAGTCAACACACGTACATGCGACACTGAATAATTCTTTTTGAATTTCTAAACAGCAAAATCTCTCTGAGGGGTTTATTCCTATGAGATAAAATAAAAAAATAGGAAAAACGGTCAAAAACGTTTCTCCTTTTTACGTTTCACACTTCACGCTTCACGCTTCCGGTGATTGCGTGAAGTTCGTAATGACGTCAGAGGTAGGGCGCGAGGCTTTGTTCCGTCTGAAAATATCGAGAACTGTGTCAACAAAGCGAGATAATTGTAAAGGAAAAGGATTTGTTTGTCTTAAGATTGCATTCATCCTGTCAACCCCTTCCAAATTGGCCGTCATTTGCATTCTATCAACTGAGGCGATAAGGAAAGTGTTTTTCGATGTGCGGCAACCGTTTAAACAGTTGCTAAGCCGGTCGAAGATTTGTTTGTAAGGCTCTCCGAACCGGTGACTTTTGAGCAGTTTGTGAGGGATGAATGAGCTGGTTGGTTAAACGCAAAGATTTTGTACGTTAACTACAATCGATTCATGCATTGGAGAGTCACTGAAGGAGATGTCGAGGTGTTGTGGAAACTTGTTTGTGCCACCCGTCCAAACAAGATGATTTCTTGTTGTTTTTATGGGTGACAATTTGGCCAACGAAAACCACTTTCGCATTGTTTTGGGCTCTTTATATGCTGTGTACATCCTTAGTTACAGTTAATATAATTTCACGGCCGGGGTCCGCTTCAAATTCCTTCGTTCATAAACATCTGTGTTGTGTGTACGAGAATTTACGCACAACGTTTAACGCGTGGAACAAGATCAGATGTTTGGTAAAAGATGACAGCACCGTTTTGGAGCACGTAGCGGAGAGCTTTGGAGCTTCAAAGAACGTCTCATTTATGATATGGCCGATTATGAAGTACCTCAAGAGGAAGATGAGACTGGTAAAAGTAACAGTGTTACAGTTCTTGTCGAGAACGAAAAACCGATCGCTTCTGAAGACGTGGTCGAAGACAAGTCACGTTCTTCTTCTATCGCATGGTCCACGCGGAGTTCGATTGCGAACCAGTTACAAAGAACTCGTGAAAAGTTTCGCAGTTTGAAGCGGCGCTCATCTGTTGAGAACTTTGGACAATTTGGCTTCTTAGTCCCCGCCTTGGCATTATTTCCACAAGCTGATGGGGTAAGCACAATTTAAGCTTATTGTTTATTCAAGTAACATGTACATGTAGCTAAATAAATGTCTGAATCGCGAATGTTGTGATTTTACAGAAAAAATGTTTGTGTCATAAGGTCAATCAGTAATCATTTGAACATATGTCAGGTCAAAGATCATAAATATTTAAATAAAAAACTATTTAAAAGTTGGAGTTTTGAAGTACCAAAAGTTATGTAATGTGCAGTTCCTGAAAATATCCATACTCTCCCGACAGAAGTTATGGAATTTCCGGGAGGTGGCATGGGAGGTTCTACAAGACGAAATGTAGGAAGCTTAATTCGAATTTCCAGAGGGGTTTTGGGATCCAAGAAAAACCCCTTCTGTGCGTGGGGGAGGCACAAATTAGTGCAAACAGTACCTAGCATATGTTTGGTCTCAAAGACTCTTAATCCCATCTCAATATCTCAAAATCTTTTGTTATGTCTCCATCCTCAGAGATCCAGGGATAGTAAGTGGGGGTAAGAGAGAGTTAAAGGACCCAGTTTTGGACAGGAATCTTTGCATGCTGTCAAGCATTGGAAAACAAAAGAAACGTTGTAAAAATAACAAATGCGTGAAAAGCATCATGTTCAATACTGGGTCTTAAATGTGGCAGGGGAAAAATATTTGCCAAAGAAGTGATGAGTCATGAAGTCTCGTTTTTGTGTTTCGTTCTGTCTTTAAGTCTAAAATCAGTTACTCACAGTCTTGGATTTTCAAAACTAGAAATATCTCGACATCTCTTTGCCACTGATTACACCTAGTCACACTGGTCACACCTTTAGAGGTGACAATAAACACTTAATGATTAACTTCAGGGGAAGCACTGAGTTTTGTTCCCTCAAGATCTGTTTTGTTCTCCCAGACAGACTATGGACAGCAAGATGAGGCAGAAAAGCAAACAAACTCACTGCTTTCATTTCACAGGCAATTTCCTCCACATTTAGCCTGAAATGTCCTGCCCTCTGCCTAATCCACAGGCAAAAATCTCTTGCCCGCAGATTAGGCTGTCAGGTGTCATCCATCTGTCATAATTTTCAGGCTGCCTCCAAGTGAATTTACATTGTATGTACAGGTTGTTTATTTTGTTATGGTTACAAACACCTTTATTTATTGACATGCAAAGTTAAATTCAGCTTGGCTGCTGACAAAATCAGTTCTTGTTCAATAAAACTATAATATTAAAAACTTGGCAGATTATCAATTTATGATCTTGGTTGTAATGCTAATCATTTAATGAATTTTATTGTTTTCTTTTATGGTTGTGCATGCATAGTAAAATTAATATTTTGAGTTGCTTTTTAGAGATCTATAAATTTCATATTCAATTCTGCTATTAATTGACAATCACAACTTACTTAATATTTATCTAGTAACTAATATTCATAAATGGAATTTTTTAAAGTTATTGTTTTAATTAATTTTGTTATTTGCTGTAATGTGTAAACTGTGAGTTCATGCCATAGCAACAGGTAGTGTATATGACATGTATATGACAACTGAGTGTTAAGTAATATTTTCTTATTCTGTCTTAAAAGTAAACTTAATTATAAATTTTAAACTTTTTTTTCAAATCCAGACTGAAGTTAATGATTTCAAGGTCTAGTAGATATTTAAAGGTTCTGATCTGACTTGTCTTGTCTTAATGCTCAGACAAGATTTTCTTAACATGGAAACTTCAACAGTGAGTATTAAAATGTACTTAATTGGAACACCTGGAAATGTATTTTTTAAAAATGCTTGTTTGCTGTCTGGCAGTTACTGTAACATAATTTAGTGAACTATATAATGAAAGTGAATGCAATCTATCATCTGTTTGAATTTCTTCTTTCTACTCCAGTTAACATATGATTTATTTCCAAGTATTAATTCATTATCTCATCATAACAATGGTCAAAACAGTATAGTATCAAATAAAACAAGATAAACATATTAATTCCACCCATGGTATTTTGAATTGTTGAAATGATATATACTTTTAGAATTTACCATGCAAATCTAACAGCTAAAAGGCAACCAATCTTTACTTGATTGAATGTAAAATTTAGCTGACTAGACTGTACCAATTTAAATTATATTTTAATAGTTTTCAGACAATTGAAATCGCGGGGGGGCACTGCCACATATGGGCTATATAGGTATGTGCCGCTGTGAAGGGTATGGTTTTCAAGCAGTTTGCGCTAGGATCGGGTATATAAATTAGAGCGTTTGGGTCTAGAATAGGGTATAATTTTTCACAAAACTGACTACTTGGTTGAAGATTTTATCTAGATTAAGGAAACCAGGAATTGTCACTCAAACATATAAAAATAATCAAATCGGCAAGTTTAAATTTACGCAAATTAGCCCAAACAGTGTTGATGGATGGGGGATTTGGGGAGTTTACTCTAGTATAGGGTAGCAAAATTCAGCTGAACTAACTCTGGTATAGGGTCCCAGCGGCACACCCTCACCCAGAAATTCCTAAAGTATCGTCTCCGGGATTGAAATACCCGATACTATTTTTGTTTTGCAATGTCTCTGTTTATAAATCTTTGACAGTACTATGATTAAAATTGTTTTTAGGCTGATGCTCTCACACAACAGTTTGGTGATCTACAAGGTACTCACAGAGAACTCAAGTTAGCTTCAGCACACATTGACGATGCACTTAAAGGAAGGTAAGCTGGTACCCAAGAACAGGAATGAATTTGAGTGGCCATTCTATTATTAATAAGGAATGTGGGTGAGAGCTATAATGTAATGCTATTTTCCTTAGATTGTTAATGGTACTGGTCCTGAGGAAGACTAACTTTGCCAGTTGAAACATTCACCCTTTTGCTGTAGTACCAGCCTTGCAGTCAAGGCTCTAGAGTATGACTGTATCCAAAAAGAGGAGGTTGGCTATGCGCAGCAGAAGTGTCATGCTAGTTGTTCCTGTTACTAGTTTTCCCTTCCACTCCCTCAGGCTTTCCTGGTAGAATCATCTTGCAGTCACCGGCCTACTTCTCCTCCTTATCATTATCATCATCATTATTGATCATCATCACTATCACCATTATGATCCTCATTACATGGCTGTCATCATCATGGTCATTCTCTTCATTACCCCACCATTGTCATCATTTGTCATTGTTGTCGTCATCATCATAATTACACAGTTGGTCAGCAGAAGGCTGTGTGTTACATCCATCCATTTTATACTTTTATTAACATTCTATGTGTTTCAATTTTTCTTGTAGAGGAAGCTACGGAAAAGCTCGTTCATACTTCAAACCTAAGCTTGCCCAAAGGTACCATGGTCGAATGTGACCATTCTTAATACAATGTATAAGCATTTATCAAAATTTGCATTTCTTTTAAGACAACTGGTTAAATGTAAATTATGAATAAAAATGCTTAATATTAATTAAATATGATGTTGATGATTTCTTGGATCATATACAATAGGTGCTTTGATATTTTGGACAACCCTTGGTTTCGTCGACTCATCATCTGCAACTCTCTGATTCACTCTTTTCTTATCTTCTTTGAGCCTCCAACTATTCAAGTATTAAGGTAAGTTTAAAGTTCCAGACTTAATTAAGACTTTTAAGCTTGCATGCATGTACAATTTGGCCTTTATCATTCAGATCACATGTACTAAAGTCACCTGTGGTTGAGTGTCGAGCGATACCCTTGATGGATAGCCTTGATTGACCCTTGATTGGCACTCGATTGATACTCGATTGACACCTCAGTTGACACTTGATCAACACTCCATCGACATCTCAGTCGACAGTTGGTTGACCGTCAATTAATTTTGATCGATGCATATGAGTCGGTCGACACTTGGCTGACTATCAACTGATTGTTGATCAAGTGTCAATCAGGAGTCAATTGGGATGTTGATCGAGTACCAATCAAGGGTATTGATAGACATTTGGCCACAGATGCCTTTAGCACACATGATCCCGTTATTCTTTAGAGGCATGTGAATTTCTTAATCAAAATGAGACTGGTTAATATGTAGAAACTACAATGTTTTGAGCTGTTAAGTGACCTTAAAGAGATTTCTCAGACCTAGCAGCCAGTAAAAACCTTGAGCTTGAAATCCAAAGGTTTAAAGAGTAATGTCCTTCTTTTTCTCTAGCGTTCATCCATTGGTGTATGCTTTGAATCTGTTCTGTATCTTGCTGTTCATCTTTGATCTTGTGGTGCACATCATTTTCTTGACGTGGCCTGTGTTCTGGTCCAGAAGTGCTGAGGGAGGACAGTGGAATGGGTAAATAACTAACTATGAAGCTGATAGATGGGACCATGTGTACTAAGGGCATCAGTGGTGGAGTGTCAATTGATACCGTACCCTTGATGGACATCTCAATCAGTACTCGATCGACATTCCGATCGATTCTTGGTCGACACATGAAAGTTGATTGACACTTGATCAACAGTCAGTCGATAGTCAGCTGCGTGTTGACCAACTTATGTTTGCATCGATCAAAAATTAGTCGACTGTTGACCGAGATGTTGATGTAGTGTGATGATAGAGTATTAGTTTAGGGTTGATCAAGTACTGATTGAGATGTCCATCAAGGGTAGCAGTCGATGGTATCGATTGATCCTCAACTACAGATACCTTTAGTATAAATGATACAATAGATGTATAACATTTTCAAAACAAATAATATTATTTAACAAAGATAAAGAAATTGTCTTTAGTGATGTACCAGACTGTAGATATAAACAGAAAACCTGCATTTAATACATTGTATTTAATGTTTCATAATGGTGCAAGGATGAAATCATATCAAAGACCACCACACAAAGACCAACACATAAGCCATGATTTTATTTGTATTCTTGGTATTGTACTGGAAGTAACTTGCAATGCATGTTCGTAAGGGGGAATATAATTAAAAAGAGATTAATGTCATTTGCATTTGAAAAGACTCCCTGCATTAGCCTCAATTACAAGCTACAAGGACCCTCCAATCCAATATTTAGAATACGAATCAAATTATATGCCTGGCCTATTCTGGAACAGTCAACCAAATCTGAAGATGATCAGCCAATTCTGCAAATACTGACAGAGTCTGAGTAATTGACTGTTGTTAAGTTAGACTTAGTGTGCTGATATCAAGTCCTGAAGCTTGATCTCAAAGTTATTTCTAAACGAAACATTTATATGTTTCAGGGTGGAATTTGTTCTTGTTTGTTGTTTCACTGTGGATTTTATGTTGCTGATTACATCCAGGGCTTTAGGAAAGGTAGGTTGAAATGAAATGAGTGCCATAAAAAGATCTATTGCACTTTAAATGCATGGATGCTGGTCAACCAGTGTATGACATTTGCAGACTGCAGACAGCAGAATTTTTTTATAGCGTATTCCCATTTTCATTATCAATAGCTTAAGGTTACAGTATACCTTCGGTC